GTTCATTGATTTTTCTGATTAGCAAATTGATATTGGTATTCTTAAGTCACCAGCGGTTTCTGTCGCTTTCTGCATACTTTCAAGCAACTCTTGCTGTAAGGTACCATTGTTAGGTCATTTCATCGTAGCCGTCGAGCGACTGCTGTCGGTTAAGTGTTTGTTGTCTGAGCCAGTTATGCATGTTACCATTTTAGATTAGAAGCAGTAACTTCGGTGAAGGAATTTGAAGTAAATCTTGTTGCTGTAGTGACAAATACTGCGCTTCGTTGTTGCTCGAAATTTGATAACTTCTTTTCTGTGAACTTGCATCATTTTCTTTTTTGCAGATTGAGCGCTTTTTGGAGCTGCTTTTGCAGCGGGGCGGTAAATTTAAGCTGATATGGTTCATGGATTTATCGGCACTCTATGCAAAAGATACAGTGCTCAATTTCTTGCGCAGCTTCGTCGCAGCCTATTTAATACAGGGAAAATGGAAAGAGGATATCGAGGAATTTTCTAGTCCGGCTGATCCTCGCTGGCTGCAGTACATCCGTGAATTGACTCCGTCGTTTTTGGTATGTTTATATTTCTGTTATATTTGAGCCATAATTACCCTCTTTTTTTTTCGGTCAGTATGAGTTGCAGTTGCACTTTGAAACAGCCTTATTAGTAAAGTTTTACCTTGCGTCACTGCTGTGTTCGACAGATGCTGGAAGTATCAGAATATTGTAATGCATTTTGCGAGGCAGGATGAAGTTGAACTTGAATTGGATTGAGTTCTAGTGTTAGGAAGAAAAGCGATGCGGGATTTTTGATTTTGTTTAGGTTTATCCATTCGTTTTTAGCACTAATTGTCATTTTAGATGATTGGGGTTGAGAATGTGTCGAAGAATGTGGCCGAAAAGAGGGAGCTAAATTTCAAGGAGCTGCTTGCTTCAATTGCCCTGCAGGCCGTCTGTTCATCGATACCGGTCGTTTATTTGAATGGGCTTGTTGCGAATCTCTGCTCGTTGTACAGTCATCGTATCGAGCCGCATATGGTCGATTTCATCGGCTGGGAGGATTACTTGCGCACTCTCTGGAGTAGTCTCACACACAGTTCGTCTTTTATATTATCATCACAAAAACTTTTTTATGATGGTACTCGGATTTTCTCCAAACTGTACCGGTGGCTGATAGGAAAGCTGAAGTCCTGGAAGAAGTCGATTGCTTCGGCTTCCTTGGTAGGATTGCTCCGTTCGCCTACAGTTTGTTCATTCGTTTTGATTTTAAACTGGTCCCGATGCATGTCAGTTATGAACTCGCTTGTACGCAGTCCCCCGGAAGAGGAGCAATCAACAGCCTTACCAGGACTTCCTAGTTATTGAAGATACTGTACGTTTTGTAGAGAGTGAATACAAGACATCTTTTGTAGAGAGTTTTTACTACTTGAATAATATTTTTTGTTTCTGACGCTAAAGGCATTTATTGAATCTTTTTTGAATACCTCAACTGGTGCTCCCAGCTGACCGCCCATTTCCCATGCGTGCCGGGAAAAGCCAAAATATGGTAGTCAATATGAGCGCACGTATTATTCTGTAATGCACTAACCGTTCACGCTGTTACTGACCTGACTGCTTCATATTTGGCTCAAAAACGCATGATTGCGTTGGAAAGCCTGCTGCATCATTACCTGTGCTTAACACAACTTTACGTTTATATGCTAAGAAATCTTTCTGTTGCAGTTATTCTTGAAGATCTTTGAAATTCACTTTGTTGAGATGAATGAGGGAGGCGGGGGATTCGGTGAAGTGTACTAGATAGTTTGTGTTTTCCCGTGCAGTCGTGCAGTAGAGGCTCCAGGGTTGGTACGATTAGAGTGCTATGGATCGTATGGAAAAATTTCAGAAGCAGTTCGAAGTGTGGATCTCTCTAGTCGCAAGAGCATTGCACATTTATGGGCTCACATCATTGGTGACTGCAAGATGAGGTTTGTTTTTGATTTCAAGTTTTTCATTCAATTGAAGGGGCGAGGCCATCAGTTTTGTATGTAAACAGCTGTGAGGGTTGCTTTTGGTGCGGGGTGCTACTTAGTGTCTGATTATATTTAACTTTCGGAGGGCGTGAACGCAGAAAGGAGTTACGAGTTTTCAAAAAGAGCGTGAGGTTCATCAAAGTAATTAACTATTTTCGCAAAAATTTTCACTACCACAAGAGCACTGGTAGTACCCGCTTAGCGTATTTTAGAATTCGGCCAGTTTTTCCTTCATTCCTGTTTGTTTGCTTAATTAGCTCAAATAAACCACTGAATTATGCTCATATTCTTTGTTTATGCAGATGGCAAACTTTTCCAGCTACTTTGATCAGTACCAGTCTACTTACGATTCTTACCCGCACATTTTTTTGCTGAAAACTTGACGATATCGCTTGGCAAAGTTTCAGACATTTTGCGATGTCACTGATGTGCTTTGAACGTTGCCACTTCGTTCCGAACCATAATAAAGATCCTCACTGACTAGGTGCAGTTGACGTATTTCATAGGTAACTTTTTTTTTAGGGGCAAACTACCGAAAAAATTTGATGCATTGGCTTCTGCTGTGCTGATTTCATCGCTTGTTTGCGAGAAACGTGGTGCAAATCGCCGCTATCTTCCAGAAAATGCACTTTCAAAAAGGGGCATTGATTTTATCACATTTCGGCGAGATTTGCTAAATGCTTGTGCCTCGTTGTTGGACTCTGTTGATCTAAAGGTAACACTGATAAGTTTTCTATATGTGCCTGCATTTATATGTGTTGCATTTGTGCAATGCAAAAACGCATATTGTCAAGGGGTTGTTTCTGAATGTGTGTGTGTGTCTTTGTAAGTGCGTGTTCGCGTATTTCGCCTCGAGACCTACGAAAGCTATAAAGATGAACTTAGTTTACGCCAAAGCACGAGTTCATAGGCTTGAAATGAGCATTAACATCCAAGTATTCCTCAAGTGTGGGCACATAAAAGATATTTTTGCGAAAAAACGATTTGGGGGCCGCACAAACTAGAAAACTGAAAGTTTGTGAAGATGTTCCCTACTCACGTTCGACCCAAAGAATTCAAATGCAACCTTCAAGCAGTCTTAGACCTCACGCACATACGCGTCAGAATTCAGATTGGTATCGTTCCAACTAAAGAATTAAACTGAAGCGAGCTCAAATTTTACGACGTTTTTTGCAATCCGCTGGTGTTTTCATGAAAACAGATTAAGCATTGTAGCTCCTCTTCATCTCACGTACGTGAAATCTGACGTGGGCATTTTTGCAAGTTTGGAACTAGAGCATCTAGAGAGCTTTAATGTTCTGGGCGTGATCGACGACAGCGTTTCGGCAGGTGGGCATGAAAATGGCTTTCACGTCCCTTTTTATTTCGCACATACGTCTCATTACGAACACGCGAAATTTGGCGTAACCCCGCGTCTAAAGCATCTAGGATGCTGAAATTTTTTAAGCGCATTCTGCAACTATTTTCGGACAAATACCTAAAATAACATTCACTTTTCCCCTCAAGTATGAACACGTCTAATTTTACGTAAATTCACAACCAAAGCAGCTAGAGCGCCGAAATTTTCTGGGCATGGTTCAGAGCCGTGTTTGGACAGGCACAATAAAAACAACTTTTGCTTACCACCTCACGTACGAATACGTCCAACTTGGCGTAACTTCTCAACCAAAATAGACAGATTGGTGAAATATCCGGAAATATTGCCAACGGTCGTATTTATTGGGAGTCCTTGTGATGGTTTGTGACAGCGTAGTGCCAGTCGCAATTCACGTAGTAGAAGTGTCTACCAGGAAAAACAGTGTTAACATCTGCGGGAAAACTGTGTAAAAAACACACCTTCGCTGGGACAGCCTAGGTTTCAAATGTATGTTTGCCCTTTTGACTGAATTTCTTTTCAGAAGTATCCGCTCTCTTTTTCGCTG